TAACGTTGCCCATCTTCTTTTCCTTTTAGCCTCAACTGGTCTTCACACAAACACTCAAAAAAGTATCTGCTAGGTTGTGCTCTTTCTATGCATATTTTTTTTTTTTAGCCAAAATGTTTATTTTACATCTAAATATCTCTCCCTCTCTTTTCCTTATAATTATATAACGATGAGCAGTTGAGTTTGTTCATCCAAATAAATACCGTTAATAAATAAGTTAAAATAAGTTCTACTTATTGTATTTTGTTTGGAGATTGTGCAAAGATTTGTGCAAAGATTTTGATGATATTATTTGGCAGGATTACACCTATAATCAAGAATTACTAATATTAAGGGATAATTTCATAAACCTCCCTCGAGGGAGTTTGATGAAATTGTTAAAAACCTCAACGGACGTTTCTGAAATTATCCCTAGTATTAACAAGCTGTACTTGCCAACAAACAAATAAACTTGTATTTGCCAGCATTTATTTTCAAGTTAACTGAGCACAAACAAGAAAATTACTATTCTTAAAAGTAACTGATGCCCTATCATTACTACTACAATGAAATTGGGAAAACTTATGCTATCATTACTAATTGCAATGAATTTTTTTTGATAAAATATCATAATTTCATTAAAATCTGCACTAATGGTAGAAATTACATCATTAAACATACACAAATATCAAAAGACAGATTTCAAGAAAGGATACTCCAGATCTGAAGAACAATAAAAATTACATTATAAAGTTCAAAATTTAAAAAATGAGATAAAATAACTGTAACTCCATGAACATCTGTACATACTTTTTATTGTCATATTTGTTAATTAATTGTTTCAAGTCTAGATATTATGGTGAGATCTGCCAAATAGATTCAAGAAATTTCAGATCTGATAATCAAAATTTGAAAAATCTCAAATCTAATAAAAGAAAAATGAAAAAATTATCAAAAACTCTCACTAGGAATCTCTAGGAGAGAATAAAACTCTCATTAAAAAATTTAGAAGAGAAGAAAACTCTCACTAGACAATCCTAAGAAGAGAAGAAACTTTCACTAGAAAATCTTAAGAGAGATTTTATTCACACAAATGAAAAAAAAACTATAAAGAGGGCTCCTCCTATGGGGAAGGATCAGAAAATCTGATCTCTCTTCCATGGCTCTTCCATGGGAGAGTTGAAGAGAGTTTTAGTTAGAAAACTTTCTCTAGAGAGAAGGAAGAGAGAAGGAAGTGCCATGAGTGGATAGTTTTTTAAATGCAATGAAATTGGGTAGTATGTAATGACTGTTCATTCAAGTTTGGAGTAACAGAATTATTCCTATTCTCTCACAAGGGAATAAATATTTCATTAGTGAAAGGATATGAACGAAAATGTTTGTAACTAACTATTGACATCTGCAATCTATGAAAGATCAACTTAGAACTGATTTGCTGTGGAAAATCAATATTACAAATAATATAAAAGTACAACAAATCCTTCGTAGTTAGGGTCTCAAAACACTAACATAAAGCTTTTTCAAGAAAACTTCGTTTTATTCGAAAGGGCAGTCCATTGTAATTTGTGCTATATAAAAGGCAAATTTATCCTGAAGAAAAGTGAATCTAGTTCGAAACTTGAAGTCATATTCTCGTACTCTTTATCACAACTGTCAATGTTCATCCTCAATTTTCTCCGCCAACATTAAATACCTTAAAAATTGAGTTATTTACGCATTATAGACTTCATCCTTTCTATGGTTGATCATCATTATCGTTACAGGTTGAAGTCTGGCGTTTTGATCAAGCATGATTAGTGTTCTCATGCTTGAACTTGTCCTAATTTATGACCAAAGACTTGTAAAGCAAACTTATATGAAGCATCTGTTTGCGGTTAATTTGATTTTGTTTTACATTCAAAGGTATCTCAACCTTTTGACCAATTAATCCCCTAAGAATGTGTAGAGCCTTGACCTAAGGATACACAGTGAGACAGTACACGGAAATTGATCACGGAACCTGCTGATAACTACAAGACTACGAAACTAGTCGGACTATGCGCAGGGCGGTTAATTTGGTGGCCTAACTCTTTAAGATTTCTTTTTTGGCAGAACACGCATTGTGGTAAAAGAACCTGCGGTTTAATGTTTCCTAACACTTTCATCCTGCAGTTTAGTTTTCCTTCAGGTCTTGTCTTGGGGATCATCGGCATTGATTGCATTTGCAAGTGAAGCTTTTCCAATACTTCTTGCATGTGTTCGTCTCAGTAATATTGGAGCATCTATAGAGGTTGCAAAGGATGCAAAACTAACAATTGTCCCAGCTGTTTGGCTTGTTTAGATGCTGCAATCCGTCTTTGATATTTTATCCATGATATAAAATTCACCAGGCGAAATACAAAAAGAGTTCTTGATCATTGGATGATATTAAGTCAAAAGACTCAAAACTCTTAGGTGGTGATTGGTTCACATTTTTTGGAATACAAGATTGGTATTAGAATCAGAAACCCCACAATGAATATGGGCTTTAGTCTAGAATCAGAACGGGTCGGATTCTACTAAAACAATCAGCGTAGAATCGGTAGATTACTTATTACCCCTATGGTTTTACAGAATGCTAAATGACCCCCTAAGGTTTTAAAATAACCACATAATCTCCTGTGATTGATTTTATGTAAAGTGAAAAATAGACGGAATGCACAATCAATTATAGTGTTTATACCAAACGCGCTTTAAAAGCATGTGTGATAAAATTTTAATATCCATGTGACCTCCTTATGATTTGTATGAATATTCACTTTATCCCTTGTAATTTTTACATTTATCCATATAATCTCCCTATATTTTTATATAAGGTAGTTAAACTATCGATTAATTTAACTTTTAAGTAAAGACACTATTAGTATTTCAACTAATGACGTTACATAGCTATTTTTCGTCAAATTTTCATATAAAATCATAGAGGGATGAAGTGAACATTTTTGAAACATCAGAGAAGTCATGTAGTAATAGATGAAACCACAAGGGATAGTAAGTAATTTACCCAAACAATTAATCAAAGTTGAAACTTTAACAATAAGTAGCAAATGATAGTGGACGATCTAATAGTTTTATTTCTATGGATTGATTTTCATAGCGAAGTGCCAAAAAGTAGTTGTAGGTACCACTATAACAAGTCTAGCACACAACTCCTTATACAACTCCTTATCGTAGCAAAGTAAGTGAATTAATCATTGGATGTCAATTGAGAGAATGGTTTCCCAAAGGAAGTATAAAATCTTTCAAGAAAAAAAAAGAAACAAAGAAAACGACTTTGTGGCAATCAAGGGGTACCTATTCCTCTGAGACCCAAAAGAAGAGCTCAGTTTGTTGTACACCTAAATGTCAATTACCTGGCCTTCAATCGATATAGATATATAGAGGAGCCACCATTAGGTTTGGTTCCAAAAAATTGATCAATGATAATAATAGGATTCTTAGCAACTTAATAGAGATAATAACAAAGCAAATAAAATAAACAGAAAGATACAAAAATTTATGTGATTCGATCGAATTGACCTACATTCACAGACGAAAGGGTAGCCCATTTACTATAACAAAATAGAGTACAAAATCTAGGAAATAATTCCAAAGTCTAAAGGCACCTAAAACTGAAACATAAGAGAGCCAAAAGAGTATAAATAACGCAAAATGCTTAACGACCCAAGGACCCGTTAATTTACTTTTTCGCTCTGATTCCTTACCAAAATTTCTGTCAAATCAGGACATGAGCCTCCCAAAACTCTCTTGGGTTGGTTCCTTTAGCACACTTAAAATTATTTAAATCCAATATATTTATAACTACCAACAGGAGAGACTTCTTTATAAAATTTTTAATATGGAATACAAAGACAAACTCAATACCCATTTTGGCTTATAATTCTATACCAAGTGTTCGTTATTAATCTAAGATTGCCCAACTAAGAGAAATTTTATTCTTCTAATTAATATTTTGAATCCACGCAATCCTACATGCTTCCATCTTAGCTGCTGACAACAGAATCTTCAACTAGGTTTTATTAGAATTTACACGTTCTAATGGCCCTGATTAGAGGTGGCTAATTGAATTCATATCCATTTATCCCCTCAATAAACCAAACTTAAATGGATTTGGATGAATAAAAAAATGCAAAACGGTTTTAAATGGATGACCATTTATGACCAATTAAATTGGTGGACTTAAGTCGTTAATCCATGTGATCCACATAGATCCAGTTATCAATAAAGAATAGAATCAGACTAGTGAAGAGGGATCTTTATTGAAAGCCAGCTGATCGATTGGAGAAAGGCGTTCACTATTTTCAGACTTCATCCTAAGTAAAAGAAGAAGCTTCCTTGTGGGCCTGCTTGAATTTGAAAAGAGAATATCGTTTTTAGACAATCACAATCACTGAAAATAAAAATACAATAGTCAAACATTTGATACCTGTTTACAATTTAAGAAAAATCATTTTCTCGACTTTACTTCATTTTATCTTATTTTCCTTTTTCTTGATTTTCGCGTAATTACCAAACGTTCACATGTTCTTTGTTTTCAATTGAATATGTGCTAATTATTGAATTCATCACAACCAAAAGATGCGACTTGTAACCACAAGTTGCTTTTCTTTACCCTTTTTTTGATAAATACTTGTCTAAATTTCCATCCCAACACTCGGGTAAAATATTGAAAATTCTTTTACACATAATGGAGATGGAAAAAGAATCACTCTAATCTTTCCTTTTTCTAGCAGGTAATAATAGGGGATACATTTTAAGTATTAAGATTTAGAACATTTTCATAACAGTAATTAGTAGATTTATTGGATTGCATTCTAATCATTTTCAACAAATACATTTATTGGATTACATTCTAATCGTTTTTATCAAATTATTAATTTAATAAATAGGAACAGAATAAGTTAAAAAAAGAGCTACGATAAAATTTTTTTGTCAAACACCATCATCAACTAACCATGAAAAAAATTCCAAGCAAAAACTAGTCTAGTATAGATGAAGAGATATTGTATGGACTGGAACTAAGAAATAACGTACACTAAAATTCAAAGGCAATATACACGGGAATTAAAAAGACCACAATAGAATGCATGGAATCTCACTAGCCCTAAGACTAGTAAATGGTCAAATGGATGGATTATGGTTTTATTCTATCCATTTAAATCCAAACCATTTGTATCCATTTATTAAGTGCTTGTAACTGGATTGAATTAAACTTACCCACTATCGATTTAAGAAGATCCATTTATCAACCATTTACCCAGTTTACAGCTTATAGCCCCTGATGATACATTTTTTATTGTGATGAAGATAAAAAGGCAAAATAATATTGCAAGTGAAACAGAACCTTGACCTAATTCTTTCAGTTGTTTGTTCTCATGTGATCCAGTTGGCTTTTGCCATCAAGTTTGGAGCTTAGCATCAGTCTGACATACTCCTCGAATCCTAATGCCTTGTATTGTGCACCATTTTCTTTGACAAGCTCCGGTAGAGGACCAATTTTTGCTGTCAAATGTGCAATGTGAAATGCAGCAATTGACAGCCTTTCTATCTGGAAATCCACAACAGCTCTATGCTCTATGCTTCTATATTCCCCATTACTCATTATCTGCATTCCGCCAAAAATAAATGCAACATGAGCTGAAAAGCAAGTTACAGATGTTCGTCAGAAGGACTTAACTATTTTTTCCCCCAGTTGTTTTGTCTTTATCTATTCATATATCGAGTTATCATCTTTTTGTGGTTAGATACCTCCAACAGATCACCAATGTTGACTATGATTGCTCCCGGAATGGGTTTAATGGGCAGCCATGTATTGCTTTTCTTGATTTGCAGGCCTTGAACGTCATTGACTTGAACTAATAAGGTCAGTCCTGTTCCATCAGAGTGTGGAGAGAGGCCAATAACTTTGTCTGATTGCCTGCAGGGTGGATAGTAATTCATTCTTATTCCTTGTGTGCCATCTTGATAAATGCTGCATAGTTTGCCTGGCTCCAACCCAAGATTCAACTCGATAAGTTTGAAGAGGCTCATGCAAACCTTGTGAATTTGAAGTGAGTATTCATCCAAGGTTGATCTGATATCATCAGAAAATTGCAGTTAGCATTGTCATGAAATTTTTGCACACAACTTTTTGGCTTTTTGTCGCCTAAAATTCCTTGTCGCTTTCTAATGGAAGCAAAAGATACTTCATCATAACGACTAAAATGTCGTATGTTTTATAATTGTGCGCAAGAGGATAAATTCCTATGACTAACGGGAGATTATCAAAGCAGAAAGGACCTTGAGTCCTTGAAAACAGGACTAGCCATTAAGATTGATTAGGCTATTGAAGAGACTGATTATAGAGCAGTAGTTTTTTTCTTTTTTAATTTCTTTTAGCAGGGGACCGGTTGAGTTTAAAAAGCGGGGAGGAAGAAGAGTAAAATTCAACCCATGACCTCTAATTCCTTGATCTTCAATCTTAGCCACCAGACCTAGGCCTCCTCAGCCAACAATAAAGTAAGATAATTTTGCTGCAAATGTGGGTTGTGGGAAAAAATTGTGATAATGTGTACTATTCATGGTTTACCTAAAAGATGTTGGCGAATTAGGCCAGAATCTCATGTTTCTTTGAGAAACTGGCAATGAATTGAGGAAGAGCATGTCCCCCCAGTCAAGCTTTTGATCCTCTGATACAACAAATGCTTGACCATAGCCTTCAATACGATTTGGTTCTTGTGCACAAGCCATTTTCTGCTGTAATGGCAGCTTGAAGAAATCCTCTGTCACCACCTTCATTTTCTCGATTACCATTGAGGCCCCATGGTTGACTAACTGTTGCAGGATTACTCATGGATCGATAGTTAATTTGCAAGGGAAATTAATCTCACTATCTAGGTACTGCAAGTTATCCTAAACGAGCGAAATTTCGTACAACGAAATTGTGCCTGTCAAAAGTCTGTGATGAACTTAACTGATAAAGTAATACACAGAATTTTCTTGAATTTACCTGAAAGAAACCCCACTCGTTACATGCCTGATGAAGTTTTGCCATTTCATTTTGGTATTTTGAATGACTAGTTGCAAGCTTCTCCATGTCAATGACTGGAACCTGTAAAGAATCATCGGTTGAAATTTCATCAAGGATGATTTCAGGCCGGATGTATCGATGTGGGATCTCTTTGGAGCAATTAGAAGCTAGTTCTTGCACATTCTCCACAGGGAGAGAACCACCAAGGTCAGCTCCATTTATGGCTACCTCAGTTTTCATCGATCAATAATGTCCCAGATGTCAATCACTATTCCCTTAGTGCTGTTGTTGTTTGATCGATCTTTGGCTTAATTGTATGACGAGAAAGAAATTTTTCTGTCTACAACTATGTACTTAGATGGACAAGAGAATGCAGCATTAAAATTATAGAATTATTTCCATTTTGGACTCTAAACTATACCTCCTTTTCTATTCTTAAACTTAAAATTGTCTCATTATAGTCCAATTATTGATGGAATTAGAAATAAAATACTAATATGCATGTGTCTTTCTCTAATTAATTCAATGTTCCATAATTTTTTAATGTTGGACAGGTCATGATTCTCAATATTGTGCTAGGCTTGTCTGGTCCAGCTCATTTGTGGGCCAAACCACAAAACAAATCCCATTAGGTTGAAGTCAAATTTGACTTGGAAAGCTTGACTTTTCTTTCTTGAAAAACGAAGGACAAAAACTTCAACCGAGAGATTAATCAACTGAGGAAAACGAGTAGCCACTATTTTTTGCCTTGTCTTGGTGAGGAACGAAGAGAGAGAAATTGGGGAGAGAACTAGAGAGAGAAATAACTTCAACGTCTTGATTGGAGGGTGATTCGAAATTTGATTGAGACGAAATTTTATTCACGCGATTCTCTCGTCAAGCTCTACCCATCTATTGGTTCAGATTTTTGGATTTTCTCTTCGTTTGGTAACACCCATTTAAACCTACTTTTTTGATAGTTGTAAGTTTTGGAGGTGATTTTGTAATGATTTAACTTGGTTAATATTGGTGATATTATTGTCATCTGGGTATTCCAGATAGACCTGTGTATTTTTATTATTGTAATAGTCGAGATTTTTTGACTAGACTAGATCCCATGATTTTTCCAATTTGAATTTTTACGTAAAAATTTTGGTGTCCTGTGCCTTTTATATTTCTGTATTTTATTATTACTGTTGGTATCGTTGTTGGTCATTTGATTTATTTCTATTTTAATTGATACTAGGAAAAAGAGAAATTTATCTTGAGTTAACTCGGATATTGTGTGTTCGCACCAATACCCATTTCCCAACAAAGTGGTATCAAAGCAGTCAGGTTGTGTTGCTCAATTGTACTCGTTAAAATGGAGGACTCGAATAGTGGTTATATGATTAAATTAAATGTAACTAATTATTCGACTTAGAAGTCTAGAATGGAAGATTATTTGTACTGCAGAGATTTGTTTGATTCTGTTCTAAGAGATGTGGCTAAACTAAGTGACATGAGTGATGATAAATGGACAGTTATGCATAGGAAAACTGTTGGTATTATTAGAAAGTGGATTGGACAGAATATCTTTCAACACTTTGCTAATGACACTAGAACTGATATATTGTGGAAAAAACTTGAGTGTGTATGAACGGAAGACCGGTTTGAACAACGCTAGTTGTCTGAAGCAGATTACTCGGATGAGATATAAAGATGAGGAAGATATGACTAAGCACTTGAGTAATTTCCAGAGATTGATAAACCAGGTAGTTATGTTGAATTTGAAATTGGATAATGAGGTGCAGACTCTATTATTGTTCAGTTCACTATCGGATAGCAGGGAAATCATGGTAGTCTCCATCAGCAATTTAGCTCCTAATGGTGTGTTGACCATAGCTATTGCAAAAGAGGCCGTGATGAATGAAGAGTTTAGGAGGAAGGAACAAGAAATTATTTATGAGTCCTAGTCCCTAGTGACAGAAAAGAAAGAAAGAAAGGGGAGAAGCAAAAGCAGAGGACCCCACAACAGGAATGATAAATTCAAAGACAGGTCTGAGTTGCGAAAAAATATTGCATGCTTTTATTACAAAAAGAATGGGGTATTCTATGAAGGAGTACAGAATTTTAAAACGGGAAACAAACTGAGAAAAAAGGTAAGGCGAATGAAAAAGATGATGAGGAAACTACACCAGTTGTGGTAGCTCATGATGAGATATTTGTATTATGTGATGATGGTCATGTGAATATTATCTGTTATGACAGTGATTGGGTAGTTGATTCGAGTGGTTCCTATCATGTTATTTCTTACAGGCATTTCTTCTCAACCTACACCGAAGGAGACTTTGTAATATTAGGATGGGAAATAAGGTCTCATGCAAAGTTATTGGTATGAGAAACATATATTTGGACACAGATATCGGGTGCCAGTTGATCTTAAGAAATGCTCGATATGTTCCTGATATTCACATTAACCTTGTTTTTATAGGAAAACTTGATGACAAGGGCTACCATAGCTCTCAAGGTGGAGGCAAATGAAAACTTAGTAAATGAAATCTCGTTGTTGCTAGAAGAAAGAAGTAGAATATTTTCTACTTGATGCAAGCCAAGTTGGAGAAGGGAGAAGTGAATGCAGTTCATGATTTCTCAATTGATCTTTGGCATAGGCAACTTGGGCACATGAGTGAAAAGGAAATTCGGACACTTGTTTGCAAGCAACTTCTACCTAAAATTAGAGATAATGGACTTAAATCTTGTGTTGACTGCATTTATGGAAAACAACATAGAGTCGCATTTCAGAATTTTCTTCCATCTAGAAAATTGGTACATACTGATGTTTGCTATATGAAAGATTAGTCCCTTGGTGGTGCTATTTATTTTGTGACCTTTATTGATAACTTTGCTAGAAAAGTATGGTATTTTGTTTTGAAAACCAAAGATCAGGTCTTGGATGTATTTAAAGACTTTCATAACAAGGTTGAGAGGAAAATGGGCAAATAGCTAAAGTGTGTATTTGCTAATAATGGTGGTGAGTACATAGAACTATTTGAAATCTACTGCAAGTCCCGTGGGATCAGATTGGAGAAGTCTGTACCAATGACTCCTAATATGAACCCACCAAAATGACATGAATTCGTATCCTACACAACCCTGGATCTAGATGAAAAATCAAATTGAAGGTTGCGGAATAACTCTTGACCCTTCTAAATCACGAGATTACAAACTAGGATAAAATCTTAACTCACAATCTAATAACTTAGTGAACCAAGATTGGTTGGTAGATAACGCGCACAACCAATTGTGATTATTGGTTGATAAGTCGGTAAACACTCAAGAATAATTCCTCAAGTATTCAAGTAGGATCTCTTGGACAAGAGAGTTGCAAAGTCACACAAGTATTTGCTAGAAAATTCACTCTTGTTGATGTATGAAAAATGGCGTGGACTAAGGCTATATTTATAGCCTTTACATGACTCAAGAAGCCTACTCAAATTTGAAAACAATTTACTTGCTTTCCTAAACCCTAACTTGACTAAATTAGAAAACTAACTAACTTGAATTGATCTAATAATGGTCCATATGACCTAGCCTTTATTCTCCCTAACTAATGACTTAACTAACTCCAACTAACTCTAATTAATCAACAATTATTGTTGGAAATAATTAAAACAAATGCTAGAACTTTTTCCAAACAAATGATACCAAAGACTTAATAACTAAGAGGTAAACACACTAAACTTCAAGGAAGGGTCTGAAATTTTGGATTTGAATTAATCAATTACTATAATAACTTGAACATGAACCATAGATCCTATGTTCGCATCAACTCCTCAAGAGAATGGAGTAACTGAGAAGATGAACAGATCTATTACTAAACGGATTAGATGTATGCTTTCCAATGCTAAACTGTCAAAATCCTTCTGGGGGTGAGGCAATGAGGACTGCAGTTGACTTGATCAACCTTTCTCCTCAGTTCTTTTGGATGGTGATATTCCAAAGAGAGCATGGACACGGGAGGATGTGTATTATAAACACTTGAGAGTTTTTGACTGTGGAGCATTCGTTCATGTTTCCAAAGATGAGAGGTCAAAATTTGATGTGAAATCCAAGCAGTGCATTTTCTTGGATTATGGACATGAAGAGTTTGGCTATAGACTGTATGATCCTGTTGAGAAAAAGGTGATTAGGAGTAGAGATATTGTCTTTTTGGAAGATCAAACCATTAAAGACATGGAGAAAAATGAGAAGCCAAGATCCTCAAATGACATTCCTGCCAATTCAGATTTAGATTGAGTTTCAGTACCTGCTGATTTTGATCAGAGGGGAGCTGAGACAGAGCAGAGAGAGGATATTGATGATGGTGATGATCCTACTGCTGATGAACCTGAGCATGAGGCACCACCAACTCCACCACCACCATCACAAGATGAACTTAGGAGATCTACCAGAGAGAGGAGATCTTCTAGTAGATATAATCCCATGAATACATGTTGCTGACAGGTGGAGGGGAACCAGAGTCCTATAGTGAGCCTCTAGAGCATGAGAGGCACTACAAGAAATTTGGTCATCAGTGACAACAACATGTCATCACAAGACCTAGAAATGTCGTCACTAACGACTTTTATTGACGACTTTTGAATCGTCACAGAGTCGTCACTATACCTCCGTCGGTAAAAGTATATAGTGACAACACAAAAAGTCGTCAGTGAATGGTTGTCATTAGTGACAACAATGTGAAAGAGTTTTATTGACGACTTAGCGTGTTGTCAGAGATGTATTGATCAGGGTTGTCACTGAAAAGTGTCAGAAGGTGTCACTTATATGATCTACTTATTGACAACATTTGTTGTCACAATTGAAGTTTGGAGTTAGTGACACGCTTTGTTGTCACAAAGAGTTTTTTATTCTTGTTCTGTAACAGCTTTTTTTGTCATTAGTGATCTTCAACATTGTCAGCTCCATTTCAATAAACTCACAATTTAGCATGGTAAATTATTTATCTAAAATAAATAGAAAGAAGTAACTTAAACAATTGATAATCAAAAGTAGTTGTTGCATTAGGCTACATGCCAATATAGCATATTAAGTACTCAAATGTCATATTGAGGTGCACATTACCCAACAAAGGTCTACAAAAGTAACACTGTGCCCAAATATCACATATTCATAAGGTACGTTTACAAAAGGAATTAAGTTCAAGAAACCAAAGAATATCCAAGCGAACCCTTGCATGAGCAAATTGCGACTTTGTCTTTAACATCCTTCAGTCTTTGCTATGACAGCTCCCAAAATTTTGTTTAAATAGCATTTATCTGTAATAAAGTAGTAAAACAAGTAGATAAGAGGAGGATTAAAACACTGAAGGAGAAGTAACAATACTTAGGTTGCTTGGCTAAAAT